ATATTTATTTTTCCGAATTTTTCTGCACACCGTACACAACTAGGGAGCGACATAATTCGTGGAATCAATGAGGTGATCGACACTCGAGTAATGCAGTTATCTTGTAGCTCAGCCCAGAGCTTGATTAACTGTTCTGCTTACCTCCTTTACGGAGCACCGTATTTAATTTTAACTAGGAACGATTTGGTTTTAAGAAGGTAGTAATTGTTTTTTTTGTAATTTAATGTCGTGTTTTTGTACCTATGCGACGCGATACAGATTTTTACGCAAACTTTTCACTACAAAATAACAACATAACATAACATCATGCCTTTTATCCCCGGAGGGGTAGGCGGAGGTGCACATCATGCCACTCTACAATGTAACACCCACTTTTCACTATTTATGTTATGAGTCCCATGTAATAGGGGGTGAGCCTATTGCCATATACCGGGCACAATTCCAAACTTCGTGATACTACTGATAATTTTTTAAAACCCAGTAATACTTTGCCCGACCCGGGAATCGAACCCGAGACCCCTTGCCCGGCAATCACACTTGCGACCACTCGGCCAAAGAATTATTATTATTAGTCACTACAAAATAATTTATAAAAATGAATTAACTGATTTTTTGAAATATATAAATATGAAATGAATTATTTTCATTATTATGTTTTTCGGCTTACTCACGTAATCGTTTGAGTGTACGTAGCAGTGCACGGTAGCAGCGCGACAGTCACCGCGTCGCGGATCGCGGAATGCTGCTCATTAATATGAGCCTCTAACGTGGCTAGTAACTAGTCGTGAGTAAGCCGAAAAACATAATTATTAATTTAGTATACCTATCTCACGAAACTTGTTAATATCTAAAAAAAAAAAAAATTTGAATACAAGTTTCTAAGACGCCGACAGAAATTATACTAAAGAAAGACTAACTTCTCCATTAACATCAGTCTATTGGTGACGTTAACATTTGCTACGAAACGTAGCAGGCGTAGAGCCTGGCGCTACGACGTAGCAACGGTACTACGATAAGGAGCTCATTGCTATTATTATATTTAGAACTTTTTTAACATCTGCGGGTTACATTATGACTACAATATCATATTTTAAGCAGTGGCGCAACTATACTGCTCCGAGCCTGTGGCCAAATCATTAAATGATACCCTTATCCCAATATAAAAAAATAATACTTCAAACGAGGTCGAGAATCTTTGAAATGGGGCCCCACAAAGTGGGCATTTTACCACCCTGTTATTACGCCGCTAACTACAAGTTATTACTAGATAAATTATAATCAAATTTACTGTTCCTGTCAACAAGTAAAACTTTATAAATGTACTAAAGTTAGTTTTAGTTATATTTATTTATTTATTTATTTATTTATGTACATACACACATACAACATAAAGGACAACACATACATAAAATTAAAGTACAAAGGTACCACCTATTCCTATTGGAATGTCTTCCTGTGGACCTGGAGCAGGAAAAGTAATAATAATATAGTGACACAGTGTGTAGTTATATTTATTTATTTATTTATTTATGTACACACATACAACATAAAGGACAACACATACATAAAATTAAAGTACAAATATATGATAATGAAGCTAAAATTAAATATATAGTTTAATTCATTACCTGTTGTAGATCTAGAAATCGTGAATTTATTTGATCTGCTTTTTAGACAAGCATAAGAGACAATAACCTATCATATATATCTGAAATTACAAGGAAAATTACTTCTGAAAATTACAGAAAAAGTTTCACTCAGTTAATCTGAATGGCTGCCGAACAAAACGATACTGTAATCAGCTTTCAGAATGTAAACGAAGATATTATTAAATGAAAACATTGTTCAACCCGTGCGTGGTTCGGTTCCCGGATGAAGGAGTAAAAATAATAAAAGTTATTTTTCTTTTGTCTTTTCCCCAAAAATTACCATGCGTAATGTTATCTGTGGAAATAATTAATTCGTTAATTCGTTTTCATGAGGAAATTTCGTATCTTGGTGTGAATATGATAATTACTAAAATGGTACGTAAAGATTATACGAGTTTTTCTCCTAATCATACTTCAAATCTTATACTATTATATAAAGCGGAAGAGTTTGTTTTTTGTTTGTTTATTTGAACGAGCTAATCTCTGTAACTACAAGTCTGATTTGAATAATTATTTTTGTGTTGGATAGCGCATTTATCGAGGATGGCTATAGGATATAAAACACCACGCTACGACTAATAGGAGCTGAGCAGAGCGTGTGAAACCGCGTTGAAGTAGCTAGTAGATTCATATTTGAAATAGATATTTAAGTAAGGATGTATCCAAGTAGGTTTCTGGGCGTCACGGTTGGGCGACATCAACTGAGACTGGTCAGCTCCAGACTGTAAATAATAATTTATTGACCTTAAGATTATTTTTATTTTTGATCTCTTTGACTGAAATTTAGGCTTAAATTATTCTCGCACAATATAAACAACGAAACTATGTAACTAGAGAATTGTATTGTGAACCTAATTGAAAAAGAGTAATCTATGAAGTTTCTTGCTTATTCTTCTCCATAGGAATAGATACCTTGGAATGAGAAAATAGCTTCACTTTTAATTTTTTATTGACGTTCAAAAGTGCCTTTTTATTTTAATATAGTAAAATAAATGATTATGACTTTGACATTGAAAAACTGTTGAATATGGTTACTGACCTACTTTATTGTGGGATGAAAATCATCAACTGTCCCTCCCACCTTGACTGAAGTGAGAGGGAGAATCAACTACGTCTTTAGGTTCTGGAAAACATACTTATCCAAGTGGCCCAGTGGCTAGGGCTGGGAAGAAATGCACAGAGTTACTGGGGCTTCAGCTCGAAGCAGTTGCAGCTCTGGAGTTGGAACGGTGTAGTTTTTAATCAGTAACAGTCAGTCAGTTGTGCTTATAGGATTAATTCACTCTGTCTCCTGCAGTAATTCACCGAGGGAAGAGGAAACTATCGTTTTTTTCTTCTCCTCTTATAATATTTTCTGATTCACTTCGTTGCGGGAACCAAGACAGTTATTCATGTCCCTGGGACGCGCCGGACTTCAGTGTTCCGGTGTTTTCATAGTTGTATTTCCTGTAAATCCTGGCTTGCAGGAGTTGCAGCGGTTTTGGGAGGTTGTGGCGGGCTTGTCCCGTAAAAAAAAGTAACAGTCAGTCAGTCACTCTGACTAGCCACTGGGCTACTTAGATAATTATGTTTTACAGAACCTAAAGACGTGGTTTTATACTATTTTTCCTTCTTTCCAATTTTAAACAAAACAAATAAAAACAAAAGCCTATCAAAGTGACAAAAGCAAACGAAGTTAATTAACAAAAAATGTGTCCCCAAAAACGATTAAGTTGTTCGCGTAATTTGCTTTCGTAATTGAAAATTGATTGGTTATTAAATATTTAATAATAATTGCGAGGGACTGTCTGTCCCTGCGTGTCGTGGGCAACGCCATCTGTTAATTGATTCTCTGTCTTTGTTTTAAACGGGATTGTAATCGCTTTTTGATGTTGGACGTACGTAATAATTTATTTTTTTGTTTTGGCAATATTTGTGCAGATAATTATTCTTGTAGTGTTTCGTTTCTCTGTTAGTGATGTAATTTAATAATGATATGTTTTGCTTGCAATTTGCAACTTACGATTAATTCGTTGTTTTTATTCTTTAGTAGTTGTATCAACTTTGTAGGAACACAGAACCAAAAATTGTGTCTGTTCAAATCCATCGGAATCCATTCCGTAATACAATGCGTTCTAACAAAAATTGATTGTAAAATACATATTTAGAAATTTACACCAAATCAGATAAAAATGAGATGATTACAACACCTTAACTTCAAACACAGATATTAATAAAAGAGTAAAGTATTCAAAACTTTAATTTAGATACGATAAGACTGAAATTTGAAAATGAAGCTGTGAAACACAGCAAACAGGCATCGGATCCATCAGAAACCCAATAACCATAACAAGAACGCTTAGAAAATAATCAAAATTTGTAAGCTTGAAATCAGTAAAGTGACTCTATAAGAAAATTAAATTAGTTGAAGTTTTCGCACGACTGACCTTCAAACGTCCTCGCGACCAATTTTACCCAATATCCCAAGTTATAGAAAATAATAAATTTAGTAAATTTAAGAGCAGTTCAAGGCTCCATTGCTTGGAGAATGGGCTTTGCAAATTCTAATGTCACACCAATTAATTTCCTAACCGACTTCTAAAAGCGAAGTTTAGGAGGCGGCCATCTTTAAATTGTTGTGAATGTCATTTCCTGTTTGGTTGTAAATTGTTGAGTTGTAGCAAGGGATGGAATGTGGAAAGTTGATTAATATTTTAATACTTCATGAGAAACTTATGGACAATTTTGGGCTGAACCATAGATACAGTAAATGAAATGTATTTCTGTGGGCCGAACGTCTTTTAAATTAGTATTCGTTATCGTTCTTACTTATTCCGCGGGTATTCTAAAAGCTTACTGATACATTAAAGAGATATTGAGCAGCATCATCAACAGCCTATAGTGACCACTGCTGAACCTTTGTTAAGTGTCACCATATTTGCACAATACAGGTTAAAGATTTCAAGCCTATAATTAGAAATTATAAGCCCAGGTTTCCTCACGATGTTTTCCTTCACCGTTTGTCAGTGGTGTCTGAGAAATCTTAGAAAGTTTTTTTTTATACTTGATGGACCGATGTTTGATCACTATCTCGCCTGGTGGTAAGCGATGATGCGGTCTACTATGGAGCATGTCGTTCCATAAACAACATATTTACTCGGGTCTTGAAGACTCTTAAAGTACATATAATTCGAAGAAAACCACATTGGTACTCGCCGTTGGTAGGTTGCGAATACGCGCCCCCATGTAGGTATAGCGGGCGTTTTAAATCTCTGGGCCACCACGACTCATTGAGGAGCAGCGTCTTTTAAAATGAACCTTTTTTAGATCTCCTGACCAAGGGTGATGATTTTATACAACCCTTTCACATACCTTTCAGCATTTCACATACCTTTCACCTTTCATACCTTTCACAACCCTTTCAGCAGTGGGCTGCTGATGGTGTTCATGTTTGTGCTCTAGTCTTAATTAAACCTATACAGATAAAGAAAATTAGTGTATCTTTTCGCAATATTAAAAGCCAGCTAGTTAGGTTGTTACTACATCACGGGCCTGCGGACGGCGAGCATGGGTGACTCGCCGCCCGGCCAGAACCAGGCTCGAGCGTACGGCGCGTCGCGTTCCGCGCGCGCCTCAAGGAGCCATCAGACCACCACAGATGGGGCCTAACAAGGCTGATGCCGATACGGAGCCGCGGAAGACTTAACGGGTTGCCGGGGCTCCGGTTCGAAGTGCAGGTGTAGGAACAGGGTGGTTTTTAGTCAGTAAGAGTCTGACACTCCCTTCCGCCTCACCCAGGCGGGAGAAGTCATTGGATGATTTTCCCCCCTCAAAAAAAAAAAAAGGTTGTTACTACATGCATATGAATATACATACGATACACATACCAAAAGAACATTTTTTACAATTTGTGTCTGATTATCTGTTTGTACAGGCTAATCTCTGGAATGGTTGGACCGATTTTAAAAGACTTATTGGCAGTTACCTTTTATAGATAACTAGCTGTTGCCCGCGACTTCGTCCGCGTAGATTAATGACTTCTGACAGAATTAACCAGAATCAATTCAGTGCCCAAGTAAGATTTACCTATTTTGAAATGATTTATCGTAGTTTTAATAAATAAATAATCCCGAAGGGATCTTACCAGTACAGTGCCCGATCACGTAAGGTTTGAGTAATAAAAACTATTCTATCGACTATTGTTGTACCGAATCTCTCTAGAATAAGTTGAGTGGTTAAGAGTTAGAGAGTCCTGGGGCATTGACGCATAGTTCCCGTTCTCGTGAGACATCTGTGAAAAAACTATCATACGTTACCCAGGTCCTAATAATCGTTTTACCGAATGTAATTCAAAAAGATTCAATGATTCTAAATTCAAAGGCTAAGAAGATTTATACAAACTCTCATTCCCTATTTTATCCCCTCAGGGGAGGAATTTATCAAAATCCTTTCTAAAGAGATACCTATGTCATAGTAACTTTATGCATGCAAAGTCTCAGCCCGATCAATTTAAAACTGGGAAAGTATCATACAAACTTTCACCCCCTATTTTACCCACTTTTGGGTGAGAATGTTCAAAAACCTTTCTAAAGGGACGTTTACGTCATAATAACCATCTGCACGCCGAATTTCAACCCGGTCAGTGTAAAACTGACAAAGCTCCATACAAACGTTCATCCCCTATTTTACCCCCTTAAGGGTGGAAATTATCAAAATCCTTTCTTAGCGGATGCCTATGTGATAACATCTATCTGCATGTCAAATTTCAATCCGATCGATTTAAAACTGACAAAGTCTCATACAAACTTTCATCCCTATTTTACCCTTGGGGGTGGAAATTATCAAAATCCTTTCAAGCGGATGCTTACGTCATAACATCTATCTGCATGCCAAATTTCAACCCGATCGATTTAAAACTGACAAGTCTCATACAAACTTTCATCCCCTATTTTACCCACTTGGGGGTGGAAATTATCAAAATCCTTTCACAGCGGATGCTACGTCATAACATCTATCTGCATGCCAAATTTCAACACGATCGATTTAAAACTGACAAAGTCTCATACAAACTTTCATCCCCTATTTTACCCCCTTGAGGGTGGAAATTATCAAAATCCTTTCACAGCGGATGCTTACGTCATAACATCTATCTGCATGCCAAATTTCAACTCGATCAGTTAAAAACTGACAAAGTTTCATACAAATTTTCATCCCCTTTTTTACCCCCTTGGGGGTGGAAATTATTAAAATCCTTTCTTAGCGGATGCCTACGTCATAACATCTATCTATATGCCAAATTTTAGCCCAATCTGTCCAGCGGTTTGGGCTGTGCGTTGATAGATCACTATGTCAGTCAGTCAGTCAGTCAATCACCTTTGAATTTTATATATATAGAAGATAAGAAATAACATAGGCTACTTTTATTTAGTAAAATTTAAACAAAAATAGCGATGTCCTAAAATTAATATTCTAAGCGGGCGAAGTCGCGGGAAATAACTAGTAATAAATAGAGATATTTCCTTCTATCCAGTATACATTGAAGAACACGCCCAAATTCTTACTAACGCATCGAGCGGTAGTATTGATATATGAGTTTCGTAAAAATAAATGCGCATAATACAGCAGGCGTAAAGCATAAACAGCTGATTTCGGATTCCGTTTTCCGTGTACGTTTGACGGAAAATCTCAAGAATTTTCCGTTCGACTTTAGGCATGTACACTTATCATGAAAATTGGGTGCCACGTAGATATATTTGTAATACAGCAACTAGTTTGATTTTGGTATAACAAAGAATATTTTACTATATTATACTATAGTTTTTTTTTTAAAACGTTGCCCCACACTAGGATTTTCTCCTGTGTCGTGGGTGCGTTTACAGATATACAAGGTCACATACACAATGCCACCCAGACCCGGAACAACAATTTGTGGATCACACAAAGTTGTTCCGTGCGGGAATCGAACCCGCGACACGTTGCACGGCAGCCGGTTGCCCAGCCACCGCACCAACCGTGCAATCGACCACTCGACAATATCCCCGTAATAACACATCTTGATTGCCAGCTGCTATAGCTGCTCCTACTCCTGTTTCAGCTTTAGTTCACTAGAGTGAGTCGAGGAGAGAACAGGAGAATGAACTGGGTGGTTTTTAGTCAGTTAGAGCCTGACACTCCCTTCGGCCTCACCCAGGCGGAAGAAAACATCCGATGATTTTCCCTCCTTAAAAAAAGGCACAATAGGGGGTGAGTCTTTTGCCATATACCGGGCACAATTCCCAGCTCTGTGCTACTACAAAAAAATAAAAATAAAATCTCAATAATACTTTGCCCGACTCGGGAATTGAATTCGAGTCCTCTTGCCCGGCAGTCGCACTAGCGATCACTCGGCCAACGAGGCAGTCGATGTAATAAGAAAAAGAATTTATTGTGTTGTGTTTTTGAATCCATTGTGTGTGTAGCTATGGACCTACATGAAGAACGATTACAACGTCATTGTTACTACCAAGTGTGGGAGAGCCATGCTTCGGCACGAATGGGCCGGCTCGAACGGACTGATACCACGGCTTTGCAGAAAACCGACGAGAAGCAACGCTTGCGTTGTGTTTCGGCGTGTGAGTGAGGTTACCGGAGTCCCAATTACCCTCCCCAATCTCTCCAATCCCTGAATCCCTAACAATCCTCAAATTCCTAATCCCCAAAAGGCCGGTAACGCACTTGTAACGCCTCTGGTGTTCCAGGTGTCCATGGACGACGCCGATTGCTTACCATCAGGTGATCCGTCTGCTCGTTTACCAGATTATGCCATAAAAACCAGAGAAAACGAATATTGGAATCTGAACTATGATAATATATTAAGAATTGTAACAATTGGCGTTCCATAGTCTCCTCCTACCCCTATGGGAGACAGGTACGAGGTTATGTACATATGTAGGTATGTATGGTCTGAACCTACGACCTTCTGTTCGTGTTACGCTATTAATTGTCAAATTGATAATTAATACACATAACATAACATAACATAACATCACGCCTTTTTATCCTCGAAGGGGTAGGCAGAGGTGCACATTACGGCACTTAATGCCACTGTACAATGTAACACCCACTTTTCACTATTTATGTTATGAATCCCATGTAATAGGGGGTGAGCCTATTGCCATATACCGGGCACAATTCCAGACTCCGTGCTACTACTGAGATTTTTAAAAACCCAGTAATACTTTGCCCGACCCGGGAATCGAACCCGAGACCCCTTGCCCGGCAGTCGCACTTGCGACCACTCGGCCAACGAGGCAGTCTATATAGATAATTAATACACTATTACAATATTCAGAACTTATAAATACAATATCAATAAAAACAATAATTAAACCACTGTTTAATTAACATAAATATAAATGACTACGTAATAAATTATTCGGTAATTCGACACTAAAAATAAGGACTCATATGCAAAAATAATTATTTATGATTTAACTATAATTTATTTATTAACTGCAAACGATAATTATGCGGTAGTTTTAATAAGCCACGTTAAACACCGGTACGGGAAATTAAACTCACATTAAGTGAGGTATTAATAATTAAAATTTTATTATTGTATTAATCGTTTCGGTTTTATACTTGTAATTGAATATTGGCTGTAAAATATTTTATCACATCTGCGACTTTACTGAGGTAGGGCAGACGTTTTTTAAGGTTTTTTAAAAAAGAATATTTTAATTAAAATTCACATATATTTATTTAAAATTCTCTAAAATTTACATTATTAAATACTACTTACAAAATAAAAAAAATATATTTAAAAATATAAAAAAATAGGAGCCGACCAGTAGCGGGAGCATGGTCCAAGCTACCGGTGGTTAGGGCTCCAGAGACAGATACCTCCTCCTCCTCCTAATTAAAATAATAATTTTGGAGATTATTGATAAAGAATTTCTTTTTCTTTGAAGTTTTTAAAGTATATAACTTAAATTTGGTTTACAAGACCAATGTTTTTTTTAAACTATAAAAACATATAAATGATAATTTTAAATTTACATAATTGCTTTGTTTAACCTAAAACGTCGATTTCCTAATACCCAAAGGGGTTATGTCATAAGGGCAATATTTAACTCCTATTGCTTAAAAAGCATGATAATTTTTCGTCTCCATTGTCGTACAAACATTTTTGACAGCCATTTGTGAAGGCTAGATAGCAGTTAGTCCTCGTAAAATACTGCCATTCAGTAGATCTATTTCAGCAATCAGGAATCAGTACTGAATGATTCCAAAATTGACAAAAAGCCATGTAAAGAAAATACGTCATATCATATAACTAAAGTTAGACCCGTGCGTACGGTGCGTGGCGATCCGCGCGCGCCTTAAAAAGTCATCAGACCACTA